AGCTCCAAGAAAAAGAAAAGCCACAGTCTGGGGAACTTGTCTGCCTCAGCCAGCTAAAAACTAACTAAAAGCAAAGGAGAGCTTCCTCCACTGTGCGTGCTGCAGAGAGTGCAGTCTGTGAGGAGGATGCAGGGAGCAAGGGCAGTCCCTGAGAACAAACTCTGTGCTGCTTCTCCCCCCTCAGCTCTCAGAACCAGTCTTAAAGGTGCAGAACTTATACCCAGCATAAACAGAACAGACAACTGGGGATACAAGCATCTTAAAGTCACCACAGGACAGTAGTCTAAACAGTGCTGCAAAGGTCTGAATGTTTTCAAAAACACGTTGGTGAGTTTTTTTAATATGTTTTTGTGATTCAGTAATACTAACTTTTGATAGCATATGTTATTTGAGGGAGAATGTCAGGTAGTCCTTAAGTTGCTACTTGCCTTTCTGTAAAGAGAAAGCATTTTCTTCTCAGTTGCTGTTAATCACAGACCACTCAAAACTTAACTGCTGCTTAACAGCAGCAAGAGATTCTGATTTTTAAAATCTATGCTAACAAGAGTTCTGGCTGTCATTTCTGGTATCTTTCATTTAGGGGCCAGTGGTAACAAACTTTAAGAATTGAGTGGGTCCTCGAGATGGTTCTGGCTGGCTGGGAGTGACAGGCTCTCTTTTGAGATAGAGCATTTATCTAGGGCTAAAATAAAGACTAAGCGGGAGCTCCTAGTGGGTGAACAGCTTGTAGAAGCCACAATACATATGAATAACAGGTATACAGCTAGTTCATAAACCTAGGTGCCAAATACATTGTGCAGTGTTCAGGCTTTAACAAGATTTTGTACTTTGGACTGTAAAAATCTAAGTGTATCAAACAGTTGCATACAGGTTTTTAAGAGTATTGCATTGTAATTGTAGCAATCCACTGAAATTTTCTGAGCTTGGCCCTAACATAGGAGCTTAAGAAAAAGTTTTCTCCCTCCTCCACCTTCCCTACCCCCTTCACCAATGGCTATTGGCGCACGTAACAAAATAAAGGCATTAATAAAGTCACATTTCAGTATAGTCATGTCCCTTTTGATTTCCTGGACTGGAATTTTTTGGGTACAGGTGGAAGACTAGTTGTAAGGACTGTTAATTTGGTGGTGAGGAAGGGAGGCTGGTAGAAATACATTAGCATATTTGAAAAACCTCTTAAATGCAGGCTGGTTAATAATGCTCCTCTGTTTACAAGAGCAGTGAATATATTACCCTTGTAGTTCTATTGTGGTGGTTCTGTTAGATCAGGAGATGATTGGTATTGTTTTCTGGAGTGTGTTGGCTCACTTTTAGGGCGGATAGTCTAGGAATGTCCTTTCCTGCTGTAGTGAAAATCTTGGGATTGCTTCATATGTGCTATTATAGAAAATTAATCTTCCTGTTCCGCATTAACGTGGCAGTACAAGCACAGCAGAGTAAAAATTTTTTTAAACTTTGTTCTGGAGAGTTTATGACAAGTATGTGCTTGCCTGGTACAGTAGCAAAAGCTGTGAGAAATCTTGGCCCTGGGAGGATGAGGGAGTTTGCATGCTAGGGCTGAGTCCCATTCTTGGGCTCTGGACAAGTCCTGTAACCTGGGTGAGAGCTTCAGCTCTGTAAATCCTGAGCCTTGTCAGGTGGTTAAAGCAATCATCAGTATGCCCGGTATGTGGGGTCACCTCTGCTGATTTAAATTGAGTAATAGTTTAATTAGAGGCAGGTCTCAGATACCCAAGATCCGCATTAGTGTATGCTGCAATGGAATTGACTTCTCGGTAGGATCTGAAACTCCAGAGACTGTCAGATTGTTAATAGTCTGCCCCACTCCAGGACGTACACATTTTGCATTGTAATTGATGTGCATTAAATGGGACTAAATACACTAGTTCATTTTCCCCATTAGACAGTGGTTGTAGCTGAGATTAACTGTTATTTGAGTGCATTCCTTTAACTGGGTTAAAACATTCTCTTTGACTGAGACTGTAAGAGTTCCTTAATCCCCATAACCTCTTGTCTGTCTGCAAGGATGGATACATATAGCCATTTTAAATTCCAGGAGTTGCTTGTAGTATTATACAGGAGAAGTTTATATAAAAATGTTGAGTCTTCTGTCATGAAACAGCTGTTAGGGAATTGCAGCCAACCCAAGTCTTCAGCTTTGCTTTTGATCCAGAAAACTGCAGTAAAGTGGAGGTATAAGTGCAAAAATCTGGAGGAGATTGAAATTAAGTATCTTGTATTGGATTCATGAATTTCCATTTCTCTTCCTTTAAAGTGAAAGCATCAGTAAAACAAACAAACAAAAAACACCTAAAAATCATGTGAATTTGCTTTCACTGTTGTTTCCTTTGTAGGACTTGTGCAATCTGAGCCATTCTTGAAAATAAAAGCAGTGCTGACTTAATGCACAAGGATGCATTTCTAAGGCCACAAGATTTGATAAAACAAACCTAAAAATAGTAATGAAGGGCCAGATTTCAACAATTGTCTGCTTCCCTGCCTCTTAACTGTAGTGCAGAGAGAGGGTGGGCAGCGAGTGCCTCCCAGAATGCAGCCTTAGCCAGTACTTGTATTTATTTGCAAAGACAACCTGAAGGGGATATATGCAATAATGTCATTGCTACTCTGCAGAAGCACACTTCTGTAACAATAGATGAAAAACACTTATGGCACAACTGTTGACTGATGGCTGGAAAGCTCCACATCCACATCCTCCTGCTCAGACTGAAGTGTCAGCTGTTCTTCTCTGGGGATCACGGGCGTGGCAGATGGGCATTCTCTGCAGTGTGAAACTGTTAACACCTGTCACTTCTCATCATCAAAGCACATTTGTTAATGGATCCAGTCAACTTGCCGTGTTTTTTTTAATACACCAGTTTTGTTTACAGTGTCACATCTAGCCTGACACTTTGATACAGCCAGGGATTGTCTAGTAACCAATTGCTTTTATTTGGGGATAAGAAGTTACTGGTCACCCAGTTTGCTGTGCCAATATATGCATCTAGGTGAGCGGAGGTGTGGGACACAGGAACAGATGTACCAACAAGGAAAGTGCCTTGATGCTGGATTGGATGGCTAGTGAATGTAAACATTAAGTTAAATTTTGCTATGTACTTAAACTAAGTATGGCCGATTAAGCTAGTGGTAATTTGAATGCCAGCTTTAAAGGGCTTGCATACTCCGGCCAGAGGTTAAACTTGTAAATTGCTGCATAAGCTGTCTCTGTATGGAAATGTGTTTTAATACCTGTTCACTGTCTTTATTCTTTTGCAACCTGCATGTGTATTGTCATATAAAATCTGCTTTCTACAATTTATTTTGATGGTCAGTTTTGAATGGCTTCCTCTTTGTTACCCAACTGAGCCTGAATGTTGCATTTCTGTAGTACATAATATGTAGAAAAAAACAAAACAAAATTTCACATTTACCTTTTGTGCTGGAGTCAGTGTTTTTGTAAGGCTGACCAAGTAGTAACCACAGAAGAAGGGTCTGGGCCACTGCTTCACACACAAGAAACAGAGAGACATGACCATGACACTCCTGGGTAAAAGGCTACCTCATTGCACCTGTGGCCACATTCAGCAGCAGGTGAATGCTGTTTAGTCCTGCCTTTGTAATTGCTCCTGGAAACAGGAACAATCCTCTCTACCTACACAGTCCCATTTCCATGAAAGGCATCCCTGATTTGGCTGGGTCTGGCACTGCTCTCGGTCTCATCTGGGCTTAGTTCTTTTGTTTCTCATGGGTGGAGAATTCTCACAGATTTATATCTCAGTATTAAAAAGTACTAACATATCACAGTACTGAAAAAGCAGAGTTGGGTGTTCAAAGGCTGGTCACCTTCACAAAAGGCTTTAAGGTGGGCAGCTGGGGAAAGACTGCTCCCCCTTCCTGGCTGAAGCCCTCATTTGAATAGACAGACTCAGATTCCTGCAAAGCGGAGGGAGCAGCGGCGTGGGGAAGGGGGTGTTCCATTACATGTCACCAGAAATTATTATTGCCACAGAAGAGCCATCCCAGGTGTGTTGTGCATGAGTTAATGCTTGGTGGTTCTAGATGCAAAGACTCCTTTTCCAAAATGTTGGTTTACTGCACAGTTGTTCCCTGACCACTGTTTCACTTAAGGCCCTTCACCTTTCTAGAGAGCCATAGCATTTTTGTGTCCCGCTGCTCTGTGCTCACAGCTGATGAGCATTGGTGCAGTTGAGCTCCACAAGGAGCACAAAGTGTGTGCAGAAGAGGAGGCAGCAGTTTGTCCCTTACAGGCTGCTCCCTGCTGCCAGAACAAGACGGAAAATGTGCTTGGGCTCTGTACACTCAGAACTCCAGAAGCAGCTCGGTTCCTGGAAGGAAGCAGTTTTCCATCCCCGTGGCAGAGTCTGGAGCACAGGAGCAGGAGGTGTGCCTAACCATGTTCTACCTTTGCAGCAGCACAGCACCCCTGAGAGGGGCACAGGGGCCCTGCCAGCCCAGCCCCAGGCAGTGCAGCTGGGCGATCTCTGCTTTGTTCAGCAACACTGAACCTCTCTGCAAAATCATCTTACATGTATTTTCCAGTTATTTGTGCTATTCGTGGCAAGGTGATCCAGTGCCTTTCTGACTTCCCAGCAGACTCCATCCACACAAAATAACTAGCAGAGCCAAAATATACCTCCCACTCCCTACAAAACAGCTAGGCAATTCCTGGATCAGCCAAGGAAGCTGAGCACTAGTGACCCTGGTGACCCACATCTCCAACTGGGAGATGTAGTATGACTTTCCCAATGAGTAATCTGACTCCAGGCTGGCCTGGAAATGGAAGTGTTCTGTGCACTGGTGTCCTGGGCGTTGCCCTGGCTTTCCTTTTGTGATGACTCCCGAGTCACGCAGCCAGCCTGGGCACTGAGCTGGGTCGGGGAAAGCAGCAGGTTTCAGTGGGAGGACAGCTCTGCAGGAGCCACAAAGCTGTGCTGGCTGCTGGCACAGCTGTGCTGGCCCTGTGCTGCTGCTGGCACAGCTTGTTACCCGGCTGCAGTGTCATGCAGCAGGTTCTGGGGCCAGAATCCCGAGTGAAGCTGCTCCGGGAGTGTCCGTAGGGCTGTGAGTGCCCGGGCACGCCTTCCTGGGGTGCAGCTGAGCAGAGCCGTGCTGGGACCAGCGAGGGAGCGCCGTGGGGCTGGGGCCGTGGGGCAGCCTGGGCAGCGCCTGGGGACCCAGAGCGCTGCAGACCCGCTGCTCTCAGCGGCACGGCACGGCAAGGACAGCACGGCATAGCACGGCACGGCGCTGCACGGCACAGCATGGTCCTGCACAGCACGGCACAGCACACCACGGCACGGCACGGCATGGCACAGCACGGCAGAGCACGGCACGGCGCTGCACGGCACAGCATGGTCCTGCACAGCACGGCACAGCACACCACGGCACGGCACGGCATGGCACAGCACGGCAGAGCACGGCACGGCGCTGCACGGCACGGCATGGCACAGCACGGCACGGCACAGCCCCACTCCTGGCCTCTCCCGGCACTGTGGCCCGTTCAGCCCGCCAGGGCCGTGCCGGGAGAGGGCAGCACACGCCGCCCGTAACAGCCGGCCGGCTGACTGCTCCAGCCCCGGCTCCTGAGCGGGTCTAATATTTGTTATATTTATTTTCCGGCAGCTCAGCAGGTCCGCTTGGTTTCTCTTGTTCCACTCCGCTCGCGAGCAAAGCCTTGCCCACGTTTTCCATCACCCTGAGTCACAAATCCCGGTCAGGGCAGGCTCACCGCCCGCCTGCTGCCACCCGGATCGGATTGTCCCCGATCCCGCCCGGCACACCGTGCCCGGATGGGGCCTCACAATAGCGGCTCCGCGTGAAACGGCCCCAGTCTCCCGTTCCTTGTCCCCACGGGGGCGGACCTGCGATGGATGGGCTGTAATTGCTGACAGGAAGCCTGTTCTCACGCGCGGCTGCAGCCTGAATCTCTGCCCTGCTCCGCCCAGATAAGCAATCACCGCTTTGGGAAAAAACACGAGGCTCCTGAGGACCATTTCTGGACTAAACCTGTGGCAGCACAACTCTTCCTGCTTGATCAGATAAGGCTTTTTCCCGTTCTGAGGAGATGTGTCATTGGCAAAAGAACACACGTGGCTGAACGTGCACCAAAGACCCCCGGGACCACCTCCCCATGCACACTGCCCGTTTTGGTACTAGGCAACTTTCCTAAATGGAGTCACTGTAATAAACTTTAAAACGTACTCTGGCTGTCCTCTTATCATGCATTACACAGAACTTGCTGTGTTCAGCCAGACACCTGAAGAGCGCCCCTCCTTCCCTCCCCAGCTTCTTGTCTCAGACACAAGAGTTTGCCGAACAGCCCCAGGGCAATAGCAGATGTCTCCAGAACCTGCTCAGGGCACAACTCTTGTAGCACATCCCCATTATGCTCCATTTGCTGCATGTGTTTTTACTCCTCTGTCTGCTGGATATCTTCCTTAAGTGAAACTATTAACATTCTTGCATGTGTCAGAAAGGCTCTCCATTTTACTTATTTATATAAATTAATGCCATTTAGATAGATAATGCAGAGATACACATCTGTAAAGGGAAGCAAATCGAATCATTTTATGAGCTTGAAGAATAAGACATCTTGTATCAGTCTTTACAATTAGGTTGTCTGTAATGTAGGAAAAAGGTCAGACTGTCTGAAAGTGCAGCATGTGGAATAACTTAAATAAAAATGTCAGCATAGAAACACCAAAAATAAATAAACATTGACAGAGTAGAAATTCCTTTAAAGGCAGGGAAACTCAGACTTGGCCACAAAACCCCAAGTAAACAGATAACCTTGCACAACATGTGGCTCTAGAGAGGAACTCTAGTTAGCCCTATCATTAAAGAAAAAAATCAATCATTACAAAATTTCCCAAGACTGACCTCAGTCATGGGAAAAGAACAACCACAAGCTGGAGACAATGCATACAAGAATTTATCTGAGGAGACATCAACAAAAGAACCCAAGTCATCCCAAAACAAGCAGGGTTGTGAGGGATTTACACAGCTCTGTTTCTATCTGTATTAGACAGGGCATTGCCAGCTCAGTCCCTGAGAAACGAGCTACCTTGCTGCTACCTTAGATCAGGAACCTGGTCCATATCCACAAATGAGCAGACCTGCTAATAAACCCAAGGCTTAGGTAATTTCACAGCAATTTGTTTGATGGTTTTGCATCGAGACAGCAGGGTTGGGGAAGTGAGAATGTGCACAGGAAAGGTAAAAAGGGATGGGAGCGAAGGATGGTGTCAACGCCTATTTGAGCTCAAGCAGCTCCCCTCCCTCTCACTGTGGAGCATCAGGAGATGTAATGCACAGCTTATTTCCAGGATTCTCCTTTACTTAATAAAGAGAGTACTTACAAACAAAGAACCAGCCCTTTGTGCTGGAAGAAAGGTGAAAAATAGCAAAAACTAAACTCCTCTGTGTTCTTTTTCACCCAAAATGATTCAACACTCCCCTGCTTCCTTCCTTCCTTGCAGATCAGATGTTGGGAAACCTTGTCTGACTCAAGAACTGCAGAAGCCTTTAATCAGAAACGTAAAACAATTAAGCTCCCAGAAAATAAAAGCAAAAGCAGAAGAGAGATGCAGTCCCCAAAGACAAGTAATAATCCAAGCCTCTTTGTGAGCCAAGCTATAAAACAAAACCAAAAAAATAGCTAGAGATGAAAGCAAATGCATGGAGCATGTTGGAAGGAGTTGTAAGGTCATGGGAGAGAGAAGCAGGCAGCAAAGGCAGCAAGCCATGAACACAGCTGGGTATGAGCATTTCTGGGCAGTATGCTAGTGACAAAAAAGCTTTATGTTCAAAACAAAGACACCATCCACCACTGCTCAAACCTTTTTGTGTTCAGAGGATTTAGAAACATATTTTGTAAATAAAAATATCTGTAGCTCATAAACTATTGATGCTGGCATAAATTCCTACACTAAAAGAGAGCAAAACATAACCAAACAGGAGAAAGAAACAAAAACTAAACACCTCCCCCAACTCAAACCCTCTCAGCTAACTTTTTAAGACAGTAACAGTAATACAGCATAGAGTCCATGTCCAGACTTAGCAGACACTGGCTATGAAAAGATTCACTGCAGAATGGTGTTAGGCTCATTTGGTATAATAAAGAAATTTCTTACATTAGGACCTGATTTGCCATAGTAACATTTTAGAAAGTCTTTTGTGCTCTTTTACTTCAGAATAAAGTGTTCAGTTCAGATTAGTGATGGTCTAAGTGGACATCCAGAGCATTAACTGTGTTTATAATCTTATGCTCATTGTCTCTGACACCCCTAGATACTCTTGCATAACATTTCTGTGGTTATGAAAAGTGTTACTTCTTTGTTAAATTCCATTAGACATTCAGTTGCTCATGTAGTTGTGAAAATTCTGCAGAAATTAGCCTTGGCTGGGCTACTATTGCATTCTGAGCAGAGCAATGACAAACCCAGGAAATATAGGGCTACTTTTCCAAGAAATAAGTACTCAGAAACTTCAGTATTATTAGGTCATACACTGAAATAGAAACAATATCCTAATTGTAGTCTGCTCAGCAGACTTACTACTCATCAGTGTGGGGTTGAGCAATGCCTGGAAATCAAGGCAGCCCAAGGGACTGAGAAAAACATTGGTAGCAGACATTCAAACTCAAAAGTCTGGACCTCACTACTCAATTGTAGCATTAGTCAATGCTAAAGCAGCACTTTTAAAATATAAACCACCATATTATAGCATAGTTTCTTTGACAGCTTGAATTGTGAAACAAGCCCACTGCAGCCTGAGATGTTCTGCTCTGTTACTGAGCTCCCACGGGGAAACTCTCCCAGAATCTTCATCCCCCAGTGAAGGAGCTGTGGGCCAGCCCTCCACCCTTCTCCACGCTCCCAAAGCTCACTTGAATAACCTGAGTAATTCAGGACCCTGGGAAAGGACATCCTTGATCTGTAGTTGGGGCATCTCAGGACAGCCTGCACCCTGGCATGTTAACCTCTCAGGTAAAGTTAGATACCTGACTGGCTTGAAGCTGTGCCCCTTTCTGTCTGCTGAGAGCATTTTCTACACTTTTCTCTTTCAAGAGCTGAAGGAAGTAGAGCATAGGAATGGTGTTAGGCCCCCTGAACTCACTTGGTGAGTGTTTGAAAGGGCTGCAGTATTTCAACACCCTCAGGAGAAGACAACAAACTTCTCAGGAGGTTGAATAGATTTTATTTGCAAATTTTAGAGAATAAAGTACTTGGCAAATTTTAAAGCAACATCCAATTAAAGCAAGGCACTTCACAAAGCACTCCCTTAGCAAACTCCAATTTTAAGTGACACAGATTTTGAGGAAAGGAAGTCGTGGGGCTGGGGGGTGGGAGGTGATGGCTCGGCAGCACTTTGGGCTCCAGTGGGTCGTGGGGGGGAGCAGTGGCTGCACCACCTACCCAGAACTTGCCCTGCTCCCTGCTCTGAGCTTGCATTTCAGTTGTTTTGAGCCATCAGTCTTTTCTCCATTCTGCTACAAATAGGTAGCACTGAATAATCACGCTGTTTACTTTTCAAGTATCCTGTTAGGGTACTGAATGGATAAATCTGCAGCATAAGCATGCACATCTGTTTCTATTAATGTTTTGATATTCTTGAAAATCAATCTATTTTTAAAATATTGAGTCACAGAAGAATGTGTTAGTTAAACATCTGTTACAATTTTTTTATTGTTACTCTTCATATTCATGTTCTGAGTTCAAGAGACATAGATAAAACAATAGTTCTTAATTAAACAGTGAGGCAGCAGTAAAATGACTATTTATTCTTGAGAAAAAAAGCAAACAAAATAATCATTAGAAAGCCCAGTAAAAGAGAAGGCAAATTAGTTCATGTTCACTAGAATAACAACATTTTTGTCAAATACTAAGAAAAAAAATTTATGCAAAGTAGAAGAAAGAAAGACATAACCGATGAAATTGACACTATCTTGCTTAGACCCCTTTTCATAAATTCTCAGACTGCAAAACACATCATGTACACTAGAAGTATTTTGGAATTATTAACAATATTTTAGAATAAATACATCTAATAAACAGTATGACTAAGAACAGGTCATGCTATAAAAACAGTAAAACAATGCTTAATGATTTTTTGTCAGCTCTGTTTACAAATGCCATCCTTTGTTCACAGGACATATAAATTCCTTTATTTATGCAAGGAGGCAAGAGTAACACATTTTCCAGCCTTTCCACAAAAGCACCATAAGATTGCTGCATATTTTATTTACATTGTGCCGGGAGACAGAAGAGACTATACCTGCAATAAACTCAGATTATTATGGGCTCAAGACTCAACTGCAGTGAGATTATGAGATTATGCCTTGCTTCCTGTTATTGACATGCCAGACATTAACACAGAGCAGTGGAACAAAACTTTCACTGGCTTTGCAGCAGAATGATACAAGAACAAAGCAACATAGACATTAGCTTAAATTAGTATCCATTTCAACTGTTTACAAGAAGCTTTCATATAGCCTTAAATAATTTAAGGTATATAAGCTCTGTGTGTTATTTTCAAGTGATCTTTAGCAGGAGATCTTATCTGACTGTTTCAGAATAGCTACTAGCAAAAGAGAAAACTATTGAATAAATATTTGCAGATTACCTCTTACAAGCTTAAGGAGCATGATTTTTTCATTCAAAACACTGTTTTGTGTGACCACTGAGATATAGAATTGCACTGCTTGCTATACAAACTACTTCTCAAGCACTGTGATCTTTGCTATTCTGTACTTTGACATCTAGATAAGCAAAGCTAAAATCTTACAACCCAATACACAAAACCTCTGTTACAACAAAGGTGTCTTACTCTGATTCATCAAGGGAGCATTCAAAATTAAAATCAGATATTTCTCTGAGGTAGAACTTCAGCTGATTCATTATCTTGTAATATTTCTAATCCTTGACAATATAAGGGCAAGGGAGATGGTACTGTCCAACTGCAAAAAAACACGAGACAAACCTTGCTTTCATGACCACATCCCAATGTGGGCACCACAGTTCATCTGAGGCTGCACAGAGCGTGGTCTCTGACATTTGTTCCACCCAGCCCTTCAGTGTCATTTAAAATGCGTGATACCTAGCTCAGCATTAATACCCTAAGGTTGCTGTGTCTGCACAGATCTACTCAACTTACCCCTGAGAGCTGCCTTGCCTAGCACAGCTGCAATCACAAGGCATCAAAGTTATTATCTTACCACTGATCTTAGCAATTACCTGTATCATGGGAGCAATGGGCGATATTCCTACCCGGTAGCTCTGGACTCCAGCCTCCATGCATCTAAAGCTTCCTGAGCATCCAGACTGTCCGAGTGTGAATGGAGGGAGCCAGTCACCTCCTCACACACTAAACTCAGCAGCAAGGAACACCAATCTGAATCAACAGACACAGCCCAAACATGGGATAGGGCTTCTGATCAAGGGCCAGGGCCTTGTGGGCTGTTATGCCAGGCTCCATGCCCAATGCAAAAGAGAGGATCCCAGCAGTGAAGCATCCTGTAATGCCTTCTGTGCTGGTGATTGACACTATGCAGCAACATAAATCACATAAACAACTTCCTTCTCTGCTAGTACTCCTGCACAAACTAGCCTGATGATGACACCTCACTGTGTCTGGGCTCAGGCACGTGCACACGTGAATATGCTCAGGTGTACACAAGCACTTCAGCAGTCAGTTCTCAAAGGAATCAGTGTAGTTACACAGATGCATCTATGTATATGCACATGATATATGTGTGTGTATATCTGCATCCCTTCTGATGAAGCTACACCACCTGGCAGCAGTGACAGGGCCAACTCCTCTACTTTCTACATCCAGAGGTGCTCTGCTTCTGCAAGTACTAGGAAAAGAGAGTGCATTTCAGCTTCCTTTAACTGTGCCTTTGCAACATATTCTCACAGCAAGGATGCACGAACAGCTGAACAGCTCCTGATGTAAAGTCTAACAACAACTAGGGAGACAAGAAAGAAGTTGGAGGGGAGAACAGATACTAATAAAAGTAATGGACAACTAGCTGAAAAGAAGCTCTGAACAAGCAAGAAATGAGTGTGTTGAGTAGGTTAGAACAGCACAGAGGTAATTCTAAGGTAATCTTTGTATTTAGGAATGGTATGCACAGGTGCACCTACAAAAAGTCTGATCAGATTTCAGATCTCATTAAGTTCTCAGCTCCTTTCTGCCTTGGGGAAATACATAACATCAATAAATTGGATGTTTTAAATGTGCCCTTTATAGTCAGAGGCTTCTTTAGGTTGGAAGGTACCTGTAAGATCATGGAGTCCAACTATTAACCCAGTACTACCAAGTTCACACTTAACTATGCCCCCAAGAGCCACATACACTCATCTTTTATATACCCCCACATTGGTGACTTCAACACTTCCCTGGGCAGCTTGGCCCAGTGCACGACAGGTGGAGAAATTTTTCCTAATATCCAATCTAAACCCTTCCTGTCACAATTTGAGGCTATTTCCTCTTATCCTACCATTTGTGTCTAAGGAGAATAAGCCAATCCCCACCTGGCCACAGCCTCCTTTCAGGCAGCTGTAGAGGGTGATGAGGTCCCCCCTGAGCCTCCTTTTCTCCAGGACAAACACCCCCAGCTCCCTCAGCTGCTCCTCACAGCACTTGTGCCCCAGACCCTGCCCCAGCTCCATTGCCCTTCTCTGGACTCTCTCCAGCCCCTCAGGGCCTTTCCTGCAGTGAGGGCCCAGCCCTGGACACAGCACTGGAGGTGTGGCCTCACAGGGCCCAGCACAGGGGGACAATCCCTGCCCTGGCCCTGCTGGCCACAGCATTGCTGATCCAGGCCAGGATGCCATTGGCCTTCTTGGCCACCTGGGCACAGCCTGGCTCATGTCCAGCTGCTGTCACCAGCACCCCCAGGTCCTTTCCACTGGGCAGCTTTACAGCCACTCTGTCCAAGGCTGCAGTGCTGCCTGAGATAGCCTGCCCAGAGAAGCTGACTTAAGTCATGGGGTGGATTGTGGTGGTGCATCCCATCTTCCCTCAGCAGCCACACCATAAGCTGAGAAATGCTCGTTACTCCTAGTAACGAGTAAGGCTCATTAGTCCTTGACAAACAGCACCTGGGCTGAGCTCCTCTTGATTTTTTTCAGACCACTGTCTGCTCCCAGGAATTAGTGCTGTCTAATAAGTACTTGTTTCATTAACAAGCTGACATGGAAACTTATTTTTCTTGCCTGAATAACAACCCAAGTGGAATAATACTTTTGTGGTTGAACATTCAAAGGAAGTTACCAACTCAAATTGTGGCCATAGAAAAATACTATGACTAAAGCCCACTCTCTTGTGATCCTATAAACAGCAGTCCAAAGTGAGACCTATTCTATATGAATATGAAAATCTAAAATGTCTAAATGATGCATTTAGTAAAAATCAATACAATAAATTTACACATTTTCTCAGTTTTAATTTTTTAATGGTTCACAGTGTTAGTTTGAAAGACACATTGCAAAAGGTCAGAAAGAGTACAACTCTCCATGCAAAATAAACAAGTACAAGAAGCTTTCTTTCCAAAGCATGTGCAAAAGGCGGCCTTCCTTTCTGGAATGTATTGAGCCCACTTCCAGCATTTTGCTTTTTCTGAGAAAATAATGGGGAAAGGAAGCAGAAAAATAAGGAGAGAAAAGCAGCATATCAATAGGGAAGAAAATAAAGTGGGATAAATAAGAAGGACATACTTACCCTCCAGAACCTAAGAATTTTTACAAAGATAACCTAGCCAAGCCACCCAGCAAGAACCTCCCCTCTCTAATGATCCCTTAAAGGTTGCATTATTTTCACTATTCACCTGTCTCAAACACATAACTCAGAATATACAGCTTTCATGTAGCTGCTAACCAATTCCTAGAAAGGCCCAAAATATCTCTCCATGTGTTTATTTTTAGATATTGTGATATTAAAACAAACACTGAGATTTAAGGGAAAAAATTGCTGTGATGGAATCAGTGAGCTCTAAGCCCAGAGAGACAACAACATCACTGTAAGTGAGAAGTGTAGAACCAACTGAAGAAGCGGGAAAAACGCACTGACCTAACCAAAGCTTTGTCCTAATTTCAGAGTATGACTCACCTAAGTGAGCAAGGGCTTATAAGAGCAAGCATATATGCATTTCATTTTGGAGCACTGTGGTTGAGAAAGTGATCCAACAAACAGGAGAGGTGGAAATCAGTGTTGCTGGCTAAGGAACATTTGCAGAAATTGTTTTCCCATCCTTTCTTGGCAACTAGAGGAACATTGTTCTAAGTTAAAGCAGCTTCCAAACTACAGAAAAAGATCCTAAATGCAAAATTTTACACTGTTTTCACCAAAACAATGCAAGTAATAGCCACAGCATCCAGGGAAAGGCTCAGCCTCCTCATTCATGGTTACAATATATTTTCCATTCTTCCACTCCTCTTCCTGTACAGAAAGGAAATGCTTTCTAATCCTATTCACATTTGTCTCTCATTTTTCTATCCCCATAACTCCTGTATCTTTTTATACCCTGAAATAAATCTGTAGTTGTGCAAACTACAATCTTGTGTAAACAGGACTGATAACATCAAGTCTCTAAATGCTGTAAAAATAGCTCAAAGTCTTAAAATTGCCATATACCCCATATGTGTCAAACTGAACATCCCCTTCTAATACAATTAATTTGACTGTATCTTTTTAAACCTGTTATTTAGCAGAGTATTTCTCTAAGAGCTTTACAATAATGGCCTCTTTCTTGTTAAAAAATTAGTGTGATCGAGTATTTTACTGCTTAATTGCTGATCTGTAAAATGAAAACTATAATTAGATTTATGACTTAACAAAATCACAAAACAAATGATAAAAGTTATATCTTTCATGTAGAAATACCTAATCCTAAATCAATTACCAGAGAATATCTCAGAAGATTTTACAGACTTAGTGTTTTTTCATTACATCCCTGAAAAATAACTTCCTAACTCAATGCTTATTCTAACACAACGTGACATAGTTAGTTGATATTTTTTTCAGTTCAAAATATCAAAACCTCAACAGGAAAACACACTTTTAAATTGAAACAAATTAGAAGGACAGAGCAAGAAGATAAAACTGCATATTGAAGCATAACTTCTTAAGTTTTGTTTCTCCTGTTTGTTTTTAGGAAAGAAACAGTAGAAACAAAAACAGCACAAAATGCTGAGGACTATGAAAACCATGAGAAAGGAAAGGAAGCATAAAACATTTTCCAAAATGCAGGTAACATAGCAAATATACTCTCATTAAACATAAGAAACTATAAGCCAAACTATTAATTCAGGAGTCAGGATACAAAAAGACAACTCCTGAAATGTAGAACATATTTGTAAAACAAGAGGAACATTATATATAAAACCAGATGAAAAACAATCAAGGGAAATAAGGACAGGAAAGTAGCTCTGCTCTATGGAACAGAAGGAAGGATTTGGCAGATTCTGACACTGTTCAAGTCTGTCCATGTTTCCCCATCAGAGCTGAGCCTTGGGACCTGGTTGTGTGGGGAGCAAGAGAAGAGCTGCTTGTACTGCTGGATGCTCCTGCAGCAAATATCAGTTTGTTTTAGCAGGTTGAAACAGGAGAACTAAGAAGAAATAACAAAAGCTATTTCTTTTGTCTCACTACTGGCATGTCTGGTAAAAAAAAAAAAACAAACCAAAACAAAACAAACCAACAAATACCTCAAACATCCACACTGAAAGTGAACTCTGACATGCACACACACAGCATAACAAACTAATTCGCAACTATTTGAAGGAAGAGGGTGCTCCCATCCAAATTAACCGAGCTCAGCCACCTCAGAACATGTGACTGCCTGTGAGCAGCAGTGCCCAGGGATATCTCACAGGAGGATTTTATAACGGAGCCCTCTCACACTGCTGACCTTTGGCCACCCTGAACATGTCCACTGTTATGTAGGATTGTGCCAGAACATTTGGTTGAAAAAGAAGTAAGGCACCTGACTGGTCTCTGCTTTCATCCGTACTGCGCTCTGGCAAGCTCTCAGAAACAAGGAATTCCCTTGTTTTAACTGAATTTTTAAGGTATGGATTGAACAGTGTCTTTTCACTGAAATCTTCCAGGTTTAACACTTCCTCATTGTCATTTTCTTCATTTTTAATTGGATTCTGCCGGCATCCACACAAATCACTTGCCACCACTTCTATGGGCTGGACTTCCTTCACTGGTATCAAAGCTGAATGCATTTGACTTCCGGTAAATTGATCAGTAATTATATAAGGCATGGATGGGGAAAACCTTTTAGCAGCTTCATTCTCTTCATTATGCAGTATCTTTTCATCTCTGTTAGTTATGCCTTTTGTATTAATACCAGTACATTCAGAAACATGGTTTTCATAATTTATTAGTAGGGATCCTTCCTGACTTTCTTCAGGGAAACAGTATTCCAAAACATTTATTTCTTCAAAGTCTACAGTTTTGGTCTGAGATGACATTCTCTTCAAAAATGAATTATTCTGTCAATACAAAGAGATAAATTGGAGAGTTATAAAGGGATACATAATGTATCAGTTCATTTTTCAATAAATAAATTATTTCTATCTGAGCTCTGTTTAACTCAGAATTTCAGATGTGCACCAGTGAAGAGTTTAGATGCTTTTCAGATGGGAAGCAGTTACATGTGAATGAGTACTAAAAAAGGCAATGTTATTCTGTCCATTTACTAAATGCTTTCATATTAGGTTTTCTGTAAGTAATGAAATAATGAATTTCAGTGAAGGTTCAGAATCAGGTTTGAATTGTGTCTATGTTTTCTTGTCTAACCAGACATTTTGGGAAAAAAGTTTAAATCCCATTATCTACAATTCACACTTTCTGTGCAAACCTGGTCAACTCCACTCCATTTAAATAAACATTGAAACTTTAATAAGGAATAAATATTCAAAAAATAAAAGGACAGAACTGTTAGTACAACTATATACCAAATCTTACTATATGTTGCAATACTGTTTTTGTGGAGAAGAGAGGAGGTGTGCAGATGTGGAAACCTAATTTAATAGACTCAATAGCCTGTGCAAATTTAATTTACTTCATTAAATGAACCATAGCCACCAACCACTTTGTCACTTCAAAACATTATTTCCCAATATCCTATAATAATTAGATTAATACACTTTATGAAGATGCATCTTCCCTATTATTTTGGAATACTACAAAGAGCATTTTGTAGCGCTGAAGAAGAAGAATGAAACTCAATAAAGGTGGGAACGTGGGAGGGGGGGGTTGGCTAATGAAATGACTGCCAGAAAAGGATTTATTTTCCCTCCATTTGATCCCTTCTTTAACGCATAAAATTCCAGCTACTACCACAGATGAAGCAAGAGGCCATTCCACTGCAAGACTTTCTTCAGGATTTGGTATATCAGGCCAGCAAACCTTTTTAAACCTGCAATTGAGAAAGGAATTTTAGACAAATTATGAAATAAATAGATTATTAAAAATTTAAAAATCACCAGAAATTCCAAAAACTGCTGAAGTATCAAACTTTCAGAAAGGAAATGTTTTCTATATCAACATAATGCTTTTCAATAAAACTGTTTCCCCATACACTGTTTTTTATTACAAAAGATCTCAACAAGATCTCTTGGGTTACAGAGACATTGCAGAAAAGCCATTTTATATTATATATTATATTATGGTTTATTATATTATATTACTCAATTAAATAGTGTAAGAAATAAGAGCATGCCAAAATAAGACAGTATACAAATTCTATTGTGATCCTTTTTCAGGGTGTTTCTTCAGTGAAAATCCACCTCAGGTGGATTTGTTCAAGGAAAGTGACCCTAGCACTATATCACATTAGAACTACACTTTAATTAGCAGATAAAGGATGCTCACTCATTTAATCACTCACTGACACTTGGTAGTGGGGCAAGGGAACGAAAACCAGTCCTCAGCTTGACTTTTCTCATGGCAATTTTATCTACACAAGAACATAAACATTCTACTGCATCTGAAGTATTCTTCAGGAAAAAAAAATAGCTTTTGCTATTGTAAAAATTCATTATACTCAACACAGATGAAGATGTAAAAGGGATGGAATTTATTTCTTGAGTTGTACTTACTACCTGATGCTTCTCCACTTGACAACAGTATTGGTTCCAGTAGCTTAGAATGCCCCAAAATAGTTCAGATTTTTAACCTTCTCATCAGCCAAACAACACAGTCACTTTTCTTGTGAAAATATTTTATAACCTTAAAAACACCCTCACAGTCATCTTTGCAATATTATGGGATCTCCATGCCCAGAGGAAAAAAATTTAAGTCTATCAGGGGACATTTGTGACAGCACATGAAAGGATTATGAATCATGTGCAGATACGGATCCACACTCAAGGATCAAGCATCCAAAGATCGTCACAGAATGTAATTTCTAGGTTTTTTCCTCATTCCTTTGCAGCTCAAGAGAGGCATCATCAACTAGTAAGAGTTATAGGTAAGACAAGCAATAGGTACCTATGTCCTGGTACCATCCTAGCATATTAAAAGTGTCTAGAAAGCTTTATTTCCTGGAATTATTAATTTTTCAGAAACTGACTTTAAGTTTGCTCCCCTCACTTACATGACCATGGAACTGCAAATGGCATTTAAGTAGCATTTTACATAAACTGATGTAGGTGATACGTAAATCTGTTTCTCCCACTTATTTCATTTCAATTTACTAAACTTTCTAAAATTAATACTTATTTTTGGACTACAGCACATAAACTGCAGTCAAAGTATAACCTGTACACTTACTTATTTGTTACTTTAATTGCTTGTCTTCTATTTAGACATTGGTTTTGAACACAACAAAGGCATTTATAAAATAAATAAAAATCCAGTAGGAAATATACTCACACGTGTTTTTTCAAAACGCACGTTATCCAAAGGCCTATCAGACACAAAATGCTTATCTCAACAGGTATAGCAATAAAAAAGATATCTTCTTTATCTTTGGACAAAAACAAAGAAATAAAAACCAAAACACCAATTAGTCCACATTGTTGTTTCTTCAGGTATTCCCTTAAGACAGCTAATTTTTAATATCCAAGTCACTTAATTAGCACAATTCTAAAGAGCTCTGTCAAAACTAGCCAAAATTACTCAGAATACTGTAGGATACCCATTCTATGACAAGTTAAAAGACGAGTATTTATAATCCAACAAGCCACAGTTACTGAGCCAAAAAACCAGATTGTGATGAGATTTTTCAGGATGTTTCAGAAACAGATTTATTGCATTTTAAAATTTCCTTGATTTAACAGAATCACACAATAGGGGGTATCTGTAGATCACTTCATGCAACTTTATACTAGATCAGGCTGCTTAGGGTCATACCATGCCAACCTTTGACAGCAACCTAGAATGAAGGCTCTACCACCACTTGGTCACCACGTTCACCTAAATCTGCTGGTCCATGCCACTTCTACCAGTTACAAAAAGATAAATAGCAAATTGAGTGCAGGAGATAGATTTTAAACTACAAAAAACATTAGTTACTCTGGCTGAAACACTGCTGATTTCTGAGCTAATTTCAGAGTACCAGAGGCATTTAGGAATATACTGAGAACATTCTTCCTGAAGTTGAAATGAGGAAATGTTATTCTGACCTGTTGTCAATATACCTTGTCAAATCTGGCTAAAACAAATAGTCAAAGATAGGAAAAGGCATTTCCCTACACACTCACTGGCCACAACCTCTGCACTCATTTTCCAGTTAAGATTATATACCAGAATAGGTGAAACACAATGTGTGGTTTTTGTGAATCTCTCAGATGGAAAAGTCTACTTTGTAATGGACTGTTAGGCATCCCATCCCATAGCTGCATACACACTGCTGCTTCCACAAACAACCAGAGTACTCCACTGCTTTACTGACAAGGAAATAAAGATTTTTGGGGTTGACTTATAATTCTGAGGGGTTTTTTAGTCCGTGAGATTGTCAGTGAAATTAAGTTAAATTCAACTACCAATTTGCCAGTTCTTCCTTGTTTGGTCCAACACTACTTAAAACACAAACAGAAGTTAACAAATGCCTAGACAACAATGTCTTGTATTTCTTATTTCCAAGCCCATTTTTTAAAATAGAAATAAGTAACTGGATTATTACTTACCCAGTTTTAAAGTCTTGAAGGTTTTTGGCTCTCCAATGGTTCCCCCAGCTTTGTTGCTTGCCATAATCTGAACAGTATATTGTGTATTAGCCTGTAAGGACTTCAGTCTGTATTGTAGAACATCAGAGTTCACTGTTTCATCTTTTTAGAAGATTTATGTAAACACACAAAAGTAATGTTATATCAGGGAGCTGTACACTTAGCAACTTCTGCAATAACAGATCACAAACTATTTTAAAGGTAACTTGAAATACAAAGCAGCCTTACTAACCCTTTAAAAGATGAAACCTAAATTACTGAACAATATTTATCAATACTACTTAAAAGTTTGAGGCAAAAACCTGATCCATTATGTATTTACTTTTAAAAAGAAATACAAATATTTTTGCTAATATTAAAGATAGGTGAACTATATTCTCCTGCAGATTATCAATGAAAATTGATAATCTTCAGGAGAACATAGAAAAGAAAGTGCTTTGAGAACTTTATTTCCTCAAAATAGTTGGCTCAGAAATTAGGAACTTGAAATAATTTCTGTAGCTTGTGAAATTCAACTATATTTCTACTACATGCAGTTAGACACTGATCATCCAAAAGGATGTCATCTATCAACACTGGGATACCACCCCAATAAAGTCAAAGGAAAGTCAAAATCAAAAGGAATTTTTTTCCAAGTTTCAAAATGCTTTTATTAATAGAACACTGTTTCCAGTGTGTTCTCCAGTATTGAAATTAATGTAATGTGCTTCACCTGTAAATTTTTTTAAGCAGGGCATAAAAAAATCCTACTAACAGTACCAAATACATTTTCATATAAGAAATTACAGTCACTAAAACATTTCCTGGTGCATAACATCAAAGGCAACTCATTTCCTCAGTCAGTTCTATTGAGAAACACCCAGGAAATAGTTATGCTGCAATATGTCCCAAGTTAAAATAAACTGAGTTTCTCTTAAGTCAAGAGTGGGAAATTGAAGTTCTAGTGCTGGAAGGCCATTAGTGAAGTCACCTTGGCACACACCCCCACATCCTACTATTATCAAGAACACATGACATCAGAGAAGCCTCAAAAAACATCAGTACAGCATGTTTCGCCATTTAAATTTCACTCCCTTGCGTTGGTATTTACAACTAATTTTCTAAAGAAAATAATCTGAATTCCTAAAAGGGACACAGCCTGCTTCACATTATGAGTAATATGGAGAAATACAGCTCTGTACCATGAGGCTCCATGTCTCACAGATGATCCTGCACAAAGCAGTCAGAATTAAGTTACACAGAAACCAACATAATAGGAAAAACTGTGTGCAGATGACTAAATCTCACAGAAGTAATTAGCTTTCTCTTTCACATTTAAAAATTACTGGGAATTGCCCTGGTCTGAACTGGATACCCATAAGAAACAAGCATCACAAGATTTGTAAGTCTGAAGACTTTGCAAAAGAGATTGTGTTAGGTGCCTGATTTTTAGACAATGACGTCTAAAAAAGGAAGAAAAAAAAACAGTTCTGAAGCACTGAATGATCCAACAGCTTTCTTCATAAACTATATAGGAAGAAAAAGTTTAGGTTACCCAAACACTTTTCATGAAAGCTTCTGCTGAGATTTAAACCAAAGGAATTTTGAACAGATACCATTACACTGCCAGATTGTATGGACACTATTCCTGAGGTAGAGATTAGGAGTATGCTCAAATTTATGCTATCAGCCTCCAGACCAGAAAAGCCATGGCAAGCACAGAAAATCAAACACATCTGAAGAAACTGATCTAAAATGATGTCCATATAAACTATTCCTTGACAACTTATTTTAGTGTTATTTCCAAATTTGCTTTTAATATAAAATTGACACTAAAAATACTTTAGCAGAAGATTTCCACCATACTTTTCCAGAAACTGAAGGCATATCCTTCCAAGGACAATTATGAAACCTATCAATTCACTGAACCCTTATGATCTATGACTGCACACAGAATCTATGATTCTCCAATATATTTCAGCTTCTCTACTCCTGTCAAGACTTTTTTCATTGACTTTAAAGGTGCCTCAAGATAGAGGAGAGATTGAAAAATTCATAACCCTGTTGTAAGTATTGTTGTTTAATGTGTACTTACTCAATTCTTTTCCATTTTTGGGTTTATAAAATATTGTATAGTTAGTGATAAATCCATTTCTTTTAGCCTTTGAAATCTCATTCCACTTTATTGTAACTTCATTTTTCCCCAGAATGCCTGTATCAGCCACAGGTCCTTCTGATGGCTCTACAGAGAAGCATTATGAAATAGCAAAAGTAGTAAAATAGTCAATAGTGTTTTCTGCCTATGTTATTTTACACATATCAGTAACATAAGAGAAAACATATGCATGAGAAAATATGCAAACTTAGTGCTCTGACACAGTCCTTAACTTTTCTCACTCTCTTTAATGTAGAAATTCTTCTGATAAAACTTTCCCTTACCTATTATGGCATTTGCATAGTTTCAGGTGTTATCCTATTAAAATACTTAGATGTCATTAAAAGGCTTTATTGTTACAACGTCAGGGAGAGTTCAAGAGGAAAATTATCCTTTGTGAACTCCTGGGGGGGGACTCAGGCGCAAGGCCAGTGCCTTTGCAGGAGATCTCTGACTGAGCTGGGATTCAAGTGGCATCTCCTGCACCCCCAGCGTCCTCAGCCTTGCCCATCACAGTGAACAAAGCCTTTCTGCTTACACAATACCATCTCACACACACTGCTTATAACTTTGAGGAGACTTTCTGAAGAAAGAGTTCTCTGTGGTGCAGTTTTAAAACTTCCTTCCCATTCTCTAATGACCTTGAGTGTTGTCACAGCTACCTAAAAACAGGAAAGCACTCAAAACCCATTTCTGACTGTGCTAGTAATTATCGCTGAAACACAAAATAATCCATTGCCTCCCCCCAGTAATTAATGCTCTTTAGTGGTGCACTGTACTATGTGTGCCTGCACATTTGCATAGACACGCACACCAATCAACATTTTCACATGGAATCTTAAAATTACTGGTAAACTAAATTCTTACAGCTGGTTGTATAAATCACTGAATTCACAATAAACTTCTACAAATAAAGAAACTTTACCCATTCCTCTAGCAAAACACTACTTCATCCAAAGTTTCTGTCCAATTACAAGCACCATGTCTTCTTAACATTTTTTATGTGCAAGAATACAAATGTTTTATTACATTATAAAATCTAACAAAAAGTAGGCTTTTAAAACCAGCCATTTCATTTTATGAGTAGAATTTCCTCACATATTGACTGACAAATGTAATCAAGCATTAAAATCAAGTATAATTATATATCTAAGTGAGCTTTTAAACATTGAAGAGATAGCTAGTTTAAAAAATTCTTTCATGTTCGTAGCTACACTTTTTCCAAATGCTTTGTATACAATATGTAAACTTCACAAAAAATTAGTGGGTGCAAGCAGCAATGTACCTGTATCACAAGATGAATACTTTCTTATAGACAAATTTTATTGCTGAACAGAACAGAAATTAGGAACCCTGAAACCTGGGAGTCTTTCCACCACCTTCATCTCTTTTTCAAATAACAGTAGTACCACATCACTAAAAGATAATGCAACCTGAGAAACAGACTACAACACACATTTCACAACGTGATTACTTTAAAATACCTACTTTTTTCTTCAGCATAGATTTGTGTGTAAGATGGAGCTGCTACATTACTTCCATAAAGAGGATACACAAAGATGTTATAGCATATAAATGGTTTAAAGTTTTCTATAAAGGAAAGAAAAAGAAAAGAATATTTACATACAATCTCTATGTGATATTACTACAATGAAAATAGACTAAATCACAAGGGAATTCTAAATATAGTGTTACTGACTATTTGCTTCTACTCTCTAGCAAGCACAATATGCAATTATTGACTTGAATGCTCATTACTAGCTTTAACACACTTTTTTCATAGCAGTATTTGTAAGACCACATGGTTTCTGGATCATTTCTCACTAAAAATACTTTGAATGGGTAATTATACTTCAGCATCATACAACTTCTCTATATAAATCCACTTACTCATCTCTAAACCCTCTATGGTTTTAGAGGAAGTCTCTATTTTCAAATCACCAGTACAAAATTACACTTGAAGGTAGCATTTTTAATTTCACATATATCGATGTTTACTGCTTTGCAAGAGACAACTTTGTCTCATGCATCAGATTAAAAAGCAGTGGGGTCCCCCACTCTTACCACTCAGGACCTGAGGGAATGACAAGTAACTGTGTCAGGAAGGCTTAGGTTGGATATTAAAATGAAAGGTTCTTCACCCAGAGGGTGTTTGGGAACTGGAACAGGCTCCCCAGGGAAGTGGTCACAGCACCAAGCCTGATGAAGTTCCAGAAGGGTTTGGACAATGCTCTCAGAAATATGGTGTGATTTTTGGGGTCTCCCATGCAGGGCCAAGAGTTGGACATCAGTGATTCTTCTGGGACATTCCAACACAGAATATTCTATTATTCTCATTTCTACACTGATGTTCTAGTCATGCCAACTGCAGATCTTCTGACCAGCCTGACTCAAGGGTACAGTTGTTGCAAGTGAGATCTCTCCAGCAGAATTTTATGTTTCAAGACATAGTTCCAGCTTCTGGAAATGAAGTTTTGAACTCTGAACAATCCAGGAGCCAATTAATCAACCAGGTGTACCCACTACTTACAACAGCTCCCATCAACTCTGAGAGGACATATCTGTAGCTTTACATCCCCTGGCATGAAACCAGTGTAAAGGGATTCCTAGATCATTCCTCTCAAGCTCTGTAGCTTGCTAAACAAGAATAATGGCTACCAACAGATCCCTGCATGATATCAACTTTCTGCTGCTCTTTCAGTCTATTACTCCTATTTCAATGGCCATTATATATACATTACTCCAGCTGGTTTTAGCTAGGGTAGAGTTAGCTTTCTTCCCAGTGGCTGGCATGGGGCTGTGCTTTGAATTTGTGCTGAACACGGGGCTGACAATACAGAGATGTTTTTGTTATTGTTGAGCAGAGCTCACACAGAGCCAAGGCCTTTTCTGCTTCTCCTGCTGCCCTGGTGCTCTGGGAGGGGACCGGGGGCGCCTGGGAGGCTGGGAGGAGACACAGCCAGGACAGGTGACCCCAGCTGAGCAAAGGGACATTCCAGACCGTGTGGCATCATGCTCACTACATAAAGTGGGGGAAGAAGGAGGAAGGGAGGACATTTGGAGTGAGGAGTTTGTTTTCCCAAGTCACTGTTACATGCAATGGGGCCCTGCTCTCCTGGAGATGGCTGAACTCCTACCTGCCCATGGGAAGCAGTGAACCCACTCCTTGTTTTGCCTTGCTTGTGTGCAGGACTTCTGTTTTCCCTACGAAACTGTCTCCATCTCAACCCGCAAGTGCTCCTGCTTTTACCCTGTTGATTCTCTCCCTGATCTCACTGGCAGGGCAGTGAGCAAGCAGCTGCCTGGGCTTGGCTGTTTGCTGGGGATAAACCACACGAGTCAAACTGAGGTGATGACAGATTTGATTGGTATGTACTAGACTGAACTCACAGCTGTTAGTGCTGTTCAGCTAGTGATAAGCAGGCTCCTGCACTTGCCACGGGGGTCATTTGCCTGCCAGGGTATTAGAGTCTAGTTAGAGTTTTGCTTTTGCTGCTTGCTGTAGTGCTGCACTACTTAACACATTACTGATTTGTGCCTGAGATCATTTTGATAACAGCCACGGGGATGTGCCAGGGCAGTGCTGCTGTTTCTGTGCTGATGTTGTGGACAGGCTGGAACTCAGCGTGAAATTGAGCTGAAGTGTGGTGTGTGATGGCGTCCACAAGGGAGCCTGCAGCCTGTGGAGGACTCCACACCGGAGCAGGTGGATGCCTGAAGGAGAACGTGACCTCAGAGGGGAGCCATACTGGAGCAGACTGGGGGTAACTGCAGCCAGTGGGAAGGACCCAAGTCAGAGAAGTTCAGTAAGAACTGTCTCCCATAGGTGGGAAGAGTAGGGAATGTAAAGATTCCTCTGCAACCTGTGGTGAAGGTCATGGTGAAGCTGGCTGTCCCCCTGCAGCCTGTGGAGGACTATGATGTTCTCTCACTAAAACACATGAAAGAGCATGAGTTTTTCCCATATTCAATCTTTCTTTTTAAATTCTAGATTTCTCTGATAGAAGAGTCACATCAGTCACAGGCCTCCCTACTAGCATAAGATCAAGCCACAGAACTGCTTTAACACAAATTCTGTAGCCTAATCTTATATGAGAGCAAGCACTACCTTGGATGTTGCATGAAAATTTGTAAGGCTAAAAAATGCTATTACATTAGCAGCAGAGATTTCAGTAAAGCATGTAATAATACTGTTATGTTTAAAAACAGTCTGAGGAAAGGTGAATGAGTTCATCCTTTCCAATCTACCTATAAGTACATGTACATCTGTACATTGTTACAGCTGTAACTGATAAACATACTTTTGTTACTTTTCCACTTTGTAGAATTTGATACATATTGCCATGATCTACCAAAAGGGTCCATCTCCAATTCCTCATACCACTCAACCACGTATTTGGTTGTTTCTGGTTCAGAGGTTATCCACTGCACCACCACTTCTTCATTTGTTGCAGAGGTCACCACTTTTTCAATCATCTGAGAGGCTAAAAATTTAACAGAAAATATCAGCAATTGTCTTCAGAAAAGCTTGAAAAACACATACAGAATTCAAGAACCAGTCTCTCTTTCAGAATCCGAATTTTGCAGTGTGTAAAACTTTATAAACCAAATTACTACCAATTTTGCAGGTAGCTTATAAGTAATTTTGATTGAGATGACAAAGGCAATGGAACAGGAAAACAAGTCAGCAAGGTCAAGAATGACACTGAAGCAAAGGTGAATTCTGCATCAGCCTGCAGAATAGAGGTAATGAGAGTCTAAGTGAAAATCTAACTTGGCAAAGCAGAGGCAAAAAAGACCCGATGAAGCAGAGAAAAAAAAGAGATGCATCTGGTGGGGGGGAAGCATATCACAGCATGGAAAAATCAGAAAAACCTTTGTGGTGGGATGCAAAAGTGGATAGGGAGGTAGTCAGCAACCTCTAGGACAAAATTACATTAAATCTACATATCCAGTTTTCTGATTAGAATGGAATTTGATTGATTGATTGAGTTCCAGGGAGACACTTGCACTTACATCATGAACAACTCTTGTTAGAAGTGATTCAAGTGTGTCAAATACAACCTATCTGTCAGATCATGGCTGGCAGCAGAATGTTGCAACACAAGGCTCAAAGCAGTATCAGAATTAAACATAAGAGCCAAAGAGCAACTCTTGTGCTAGATCAGGCCAGCTTCCTAACCCTGGCAGTGGGTGGGATGGGTTCTCTGGGAATGCATATGAAATGAGAATGAACACAAGGCTTCTCTCCCTGCTTCCACTAACGCAGTGTAGAGACTTCTATTTATCACATCTTTGAATGATTGTTGAACACTCTGCAATAGTGCCCTGTGGTAACCAATCTTCTGAGCTAACAAAGGGATCCAAAAGAATTGGGTAGCATTCCTGTCACCCTGGTTTTTTAAGATTTTCTAAGCCTTCTGATTCTTGTAGTGAACTTTCTCACACACTTACTGTAAATAACTCATTGTTTTGCATTCCTTTATGGAGGAAGAGAGAGTTGACGGACTGTTGGTTTGACCAGTGTCATTGGAGAGGTGTCATTGTCATCCTCCAATCCACTGTCACTTTTGTAAAACTATAAATATTGGAGTCAGAAAATAAACTTCCCTTTTTTCCTTCACCTTGAGAGGAGTGGTGTGCTTGTGTTCTTTCGTGTTCTATAGCGACACATTCCATAAATTTATTTGGGAGGTGCAAAGTTAGGAAAAAAACTAAACCAACCAAAAAAACCCTAAGAAAGTAGTACAACAGAAATTCACTAAGACATCACAAAGTATTCATATCTTAACAACTGTATTTCAAAACAAAAGCCCCAACAATAATTGTCTGTAACAGAAATATGATACATGACAGCAAAATACAAGATACATATGACAGAAGCCCTTAGCATAATTTTGCTTCACTATATCAGAACTTAAAAAGATGCAATGAAAATCACTTTTTCATTAATGAGAAAAATATGTCATTGAAAAATCTTACATTTTTCATCAGTGGATGGAATCCTCAAAATAGCTTCAGGAGACTCTCCAGCAGAGTTATAAGCAGTGACAGATATTATATGTGCCTCTTCATTTAAAAGTAAGGTCATTTTCTGTTCAGTAGAATAGTTTGTCCTTTTATGTGCAGCCTTGTTTTCTGGAAAATACTGTATTTTGTAGCCTAGAATTCTCCCAGAAGGCGGAAAGCTTTTTAATGGCTATTAAAAAAGATACACAGTAGTAAGTGTTTCACAGTGTTACCTGCACAAGCAAAATTATATGCTGTATTAAAGATTAAATTACAAAACTATTATACTGTATTTAGAAAAGCAAGGTATTTTCTTCAGGCCCATCTTCAGGACAGACAGCCACCAGAATTTCCTTGATGGATTTCAAAAGTCAAATGCTGAGATTTGAAATGTGAAGAGCCTTTAGACACTTTACTAGAAGATTAAAGTGCATTTAAACACAGCTTTGGCAAACTGGATTATTTAAATGCAGTTTAACAACTTTCAATGAGATTTTCCAGTGATCTGAACACAATTAAATGCTCCCTTTCCACACAGATTACAAAACTCCATTCATCTACCATTCAGTAAACAAAGGCCTTTTCAATTCTAATTTAGTTCAGTGAGCTTTTTTTTTTTCTGATAACATCAAATGCCTCTGGCAGTTATATGTCCTACAACACAGAAATGCTTAAATACAACATCAGGTACAGGATATCAATATGATTACCAATTCACAAAAAAATGCATGTACCTTCCACATAAGGTGTACAGATCTATTTCTAGATGAGCGTGAAGACTCAATTACTCTCCACAAATCCACTTTTCCTGAAGGAGCTGTTTAAAGACAAAAAAATCCGCTTGCAATTTGTTGCTGTATTTAAAAGATTGTTTAATATGGTGAAAACAATCAAAAGGTTTCTCTAATATGGTTAAAAAACTCAAACGGTATCAAATATAGAGTCTAAGAGAAACTTATTAAAAGTAAGTTTTATCTTCTGTAGTACAATGCCTTTTTTTTCCCCAATTAGGTACTTCTTTCTTTCTATAAGTTTCCTGCTGCTTGCTTTTATTTGTTCAGTTCTAGAGTCTCTCAGAAGAGATTTTCTAGACTTGTTTTAAAACTGGTATTTTGATTTCTCTATTTATAATTTATTTCATTGAACACTCATGCTGCACTACTTTTCTGCTACTATCTTAATTTGCTTTGTTAAATCTTCATGTACACTCTTAATTTTCCCTCTCTTCAGTGTCTACTCATCTGCTTTCTTCCTTAGTCCTATGTTGTTTGAATCACTTTTCAAATCTCCTCCAATACTTGCTGTTGTCGTTCAGTTTTCCCCTTCTATCTTTAAACAAAATACACATGTTCTGTTTAAGCAACAGGATTCTAAATTCAATAGAGGATAACAGTCTGCAACACAGTTTTTCCCTACTAAATCCTAATGCCTCCAAGTATAATAGAAGAAAACTTCCACAGGTAGGCAGCTTACCATTTTCTTCTGTGCTTTCATTTTTCTCTCCACTCCATCCACTCCAAAATGCTGACTCATTATTGACACACCGAATGGCAACAGAATAGTCTGTGGAGTCCCACAGACCTGTGAGATTACATGATCCTATTTTCTTCTTAGAATTCAGTGAGACATTGACAAATTCCTGGAAATTGGAACAAGAACAAAAACTATTTGATATAAAATTTAGTGCAGATATATTACCTTTTTTTTTATTACTTAAGAAAACACAGAAGATGCAGTTTTTGTGTATACCACCTCACTTCTCTGAAACTCAACATTCCTTGTTTTAAACTTCATTTTTCTGTGTAGCACCTTTGTTCCTCCTGTAAAACTCCAGGGTTTGAAAAACTTGATCCCAAACCTGTGGCTTGAACAGGGAGCAGCTCACATGTGATTCCAGAGCAGCTGTGCACAGAAGCTGCTGGAGGAATGCAGTTCCCACTGGTGGGAAGCAAGTGGTTATTGCTAAAGCCATTACTACAATAATGTCCCACAGCAGCATCCTGGGGGAAGCAGTGATTCCCCCAGTGATTCCTCGCAGTTTGTGAGTCAGCTGGGTATTGTCTGCTGTCTTGTGCATCTTTTCTGAGTTACAAGGCCTTCTAGCTGTTAGCCATAAAACAGTGTAGCTGTGGGCTGCCCCAAACATTATCAGCACAGGATTAAAATGAAAAGGTAAACAAAAGGACAAAAAATTCTGGTACCAAGAGGTAAAAAATAAGATGAAGCCTATTAGTGGTAAAGGAAGATGGGAGTGTAAGAAATAAATTATGTGTTATCTTTTCAGAAAAGTAACGACAATGAGAGTCATTTCTTTGTCTTGAAAGGAACTTCACTCACTTCAACACCCCCAACAGGGCTAAAACACAGTGAAGAAATTCTTGGCTTCTATCAGTTGAACCTTCCAATGAAAAATGAATCAGTCTATAACAATGCAGAGTGTACTATAACAACTATAACAAATGCAGACACTCACTCATATGAACACCATAATGGGAAGTGCCTAATGTAACTGAATATTTTGGTCTGTTCTGATCTCAAGAAATTCACTGTCAAAAAATACCTGCTGCTAAGGGAGTGAATTCAGGGGTCTCCAAACTACTGTAGGTGATAGATTCTGCAACAAATCTAAAATTAAAAAGGCTCCAAAATTATTATCAACCTCTGGCAGAACCTGACATAGAATTAGAGACATGTTGTACTAGGTTTTAGTTAATTGCCAAAAGGCTGTTAATGATATTGCATTAAAATCAGAAACTTAGAAATTTAGTATATGCAAGAACAAAAACATGTCACATGTTTTTCACTCAGTAAAAACAGTTAACACCAAACTATTTAGACTGGTTTGGTCAGATAACTTTAAAGGCCAAGAAGGTATTTGTCATTTGTGCAAACCATTTTTCCTTAGGTTTTTCTGGGGGTTAGTTTTGGATTGGTTTTTGTGGGGTATTTTTGCCTATATGTGCTGGCAAAGAAACAGCTCCTATGCCTGTACTAGTCATGGATAGCTCCTGTTTCTTCTGAAATGTCTGTGTGAAAATGCAGGTGTGAGCTGAGGAAGCAAATGGGCATAGGCTGTATTTGATAGTAAAAAAACCAGACAGGTGATTTCTAATGCAGGTGCTGAAAACTAGACAAAATACACAATCAAGCTGTAGCCCTCCGAGGACTATGAGGTCCTTTCCAAATGTTGAAAACATAAGGACCTCATAGAATGTGTCACAAGGATGCCAGTGCCTTGGCTCCAAAGAGATAAACATCTCAAATAGGTCTTTTAAACAATCGTTAGTTCCATTCCTACTACCCCAACTGTACCTGAGCCATACTGCCCATCCAACTATCCTGAATCCTGAATCCAAGCACCAGTATGTCATATTTACAGTAATGATGCTTGAAAATATGAGAACAATGCTAGTAAGAAACATCTTTAATCTTATCTTTTTAAAGCTCCGATGACTATTTGATGAATTTTTCTCTCCCAAAATTATACATGTGGAACATAAAATAGTAAGATCAAGGCAGATATCTCAGTTCAATGAACTTTAAAAAACAATCCAAGAAACTTGGACAGTTCTTTAATCTGGAAGAAGAAACAGTAAAACTACAAATACAATCCCTTCCATATTGAAGGCCACAGGAATAGATAATCTGAAATACGCAGATACTGGGGGTTTTACAACCATTCCATTTATGTGTCAGAGAGACAAACTATGAAAAGAACTTCCCATATTTTTCATCTTGCAAAATTTTTATTTTCATTCACTTTAAAATAAATTTAACATCATTCCATACTAATCAGATTCAAATGTTGCAGTTCTAAGTGAGTGCTGTTTTCAACACCAGAATGCAAGGGAAAAAAAAATATTGTTACTGACTGCATGTATAATCCCTTGGCCTAGGGTCATCCCTCATCCTTCCACAGAGTAATACTGAGAAGCACAATATGTATCAAAACAGATAATGACCAAAAGAAAAAGGACAAATAACCCTAGAAAACCAAACCGTGTTCTTAAGACCATGCACCTCTGGTAACATTCCAGTAAAATAACATGGTTATTATCATTATTTCAAACACTTGTTGCCTTTTTTCAACTTAAATTCTTATAATATTAAGAAGTTAGTCACAAAGAAGCTGCCATGCAAAAGAAAAATGACGTAACTTACGGTAAAGTTTGAATACAAGTTTCTGTATTGAACCTGGCAAATAATATGTTTTAAAGGGATAATCTTCTCAGGCATTTTCCAGCTTACTGTAAGTAACTGCTTTATACCAGGGATTTTTTTAACTGAAATGATTTCAGGAGGGGCAAATTTCTCTAGAATGAAGAAAAAAGAACATTAATAGAGGAAAATGCTTCTATAAAAGTTCAGAATTTCTCTGTCTGTGTGTGTTCCAAGAAGTTAAATCCTTAACCCAGTAACACACATCCTATTGTAGTATTCATGTGATGGTTTATTTTATAGACATAATTCTACATGTGGGAAATTATCTGTAAGAGAAATTGCACATTAACTGATTTAATTACACTGAATTTTGAACAACCTGGTCTAGTGGAAGGTGTCCCTGCCCACCCAAGCCTTTCTATGATTCTGTGATTCTATTCACAAACCTGCTCTCAAATAGATGTGCAGACATCTTTCATTTGTATCAGCACTGAAAAATATTACCCAGAGACAACAGCAGAGAAAACAAATGAAGCAGAGCTGGGACGTCAAACACAAAACTGAACTGCAGATGAGGAAAGAATTCAGCTGGAAATTATCTGAGGGGAAGAGAAGCGTAAAGCAGAAAATGGGAAAAGAATGGACTAGCAATAAGAAAAGACATGTCTGGCATAGAGAGTGTAGAAAGTGATGAAGAGTCACAGTAGATCTGAATACAGAATAAAGGATGTGACTGATGATGAGTGCTGCAGCAAAAAGTATTCCATTATAAGGGTAACTGCTTAACTAGACCACCAAAATGAACAGAGCACATGACAGAGGGAGAAGAGGTAGACAAAATATTATTATTGCTCCTGTGTGCAATTATTACTGCACATAGAACAGGTGGGTGTTTTTAACAGAAAGTGGAATAGCTGAGCATATGATGGATGGCCCTTGAGAAATTATAATACCATTAGTCACTGCAGCCAGGTGTTGCACTGATACTTGGTACCACTCAGAAATATTAAAGTAGAGTCCAAGTACCAATTTGTTTGTCAAGAAGTTTTAATATATGGCCTTTACTTCTCAATAATTAAAAATTAGTCATTTATAATGGATATATTAGACATTAGCCTAAAGAAATATTGTTGCAGTTAGATGTTGCCTAGCATGAAAACAACACTCTATCATTTTTCACCACCTCACAGTAAGATCAAGAAACTGTTGTAAATTACTGCTGTAACACCAATTGGAAGAATTTTACATGGAGAGGTCATAAATTAAAACTTTATTGATTCTTTTTTAATTACCTATTTTTTGCAAAGGTATAGGGACACACTCTGTTAAGGATGCACCCAAAACATTTTTAGCTTCCACTTGAAAACAAAAATCATTACTATAAACATTGTCAGAATGAGAAAGTGAACACGACTCTGTTACAGCCGGGCAGGGTTTAACTAAATCTGGAGAAGACATCCTGAAAAAGAAAAAATAAAAACAGTTAGAAACGAAAGGATTTTCTTAGAATAATTTAAACAAATTGTTAGGCTATTGTTTATATATCTTTGAGGATGCAAGACTTTTTTACCAGGGAACATTTTTAGATGACATGTTTGTGCAAACGAATACCCTTAGCTAATTTCCCTGTCCCCTTGGTACCAGTGCTTTTGTAGTCACATGCTAGGGAGACTACTCAGCTAGGGAGGCAGTGGATTAAAATTTATGTTTAGATTTGGCTGCCAACAGTTCTGCAATCCAATTCACTTTGTGGTTAATAAGAAGTCTGTGCTTATACAGGAAGGAATAATACTGAAATGTGCTTTCAATGGCTGTTTTAACTTCTGGCTTCACAAAAGCAGCTAAGTCATAAAAGATAGAAACACCAGAAGTAGTAAGAAAGTTCCACATTAAAAAGATGGAAGCTTAAAATGTCAAAGCTAAAATGGAGATAAAACTAAAAAGGTTTTCCTAATCTACCATTTAAATTACAAAGAGAGTATACACTAGTACAATATTAAAAAGTACCCTCCAGAGTCTGAATTCATTGCCACTCTCAAGAATAACTTTAGGCATTTTAGAAATCTTTTCATGAAACAATATTACCTGGACTCTTGGGTTGGCAGAAAAAGAGCACCACCAGAAGAAGCACTATAAAGGAGAGACTGATAAGTGCATCTGGGACAAATCTGGACTATCACCTTCAAAATCCTACCTGAGATCTTCCTTGGAACAACACTGATTTCACCATTTTCACAGTCACTTATGAAAAAGCAAGCTCCTAACCAACATTTAAAATCTAACTGAAATTGAAAGAACCAAGTATCTGTGCTTCTACACTGGAAAGCATGAGACCACTAATTTGAATTTGTAAATAGAAATCCCCAAGCAATCCAAAAGGACAACTCTGGATTTTTTGACTGAAACCTTATGACTCCAAGGGTCACTAGGTTAAATGCTACTGGAGTTAAGCAGAATACTGCAGTAAAGCAGTGGCTTAATGAATTTTGATGGGAATTTTTTAAAGCAGATGAGGAACCAATATTTTTTATGCCCCCAAAATTAGGTTAGTTAATTACATAGAAAGTTTCTGGGAAACTGTCCCATAAAATACCTCCATTCACCATGATCACTCAACTTTCAATCTTATTAGTAATGTTACTTCAAAGAACAAGTGAATATCAGCTCTAAATATAAATATTTCTCTACTGAATATTGGTTGAGAATTATTTCTTTTGGTTGAGGCTTACTTCTTTTATACAGCACACTAAAAAGGTATCAGACTGCAAGTATTTCCAACAATTACCAACCCTGAATTAATAAATTAAAATTACTGACAAATGCCAAGACTCCAATCTCAATGACGATTTTAAGTTTTCTTTAAACAGAAGTCAGGGTGAGAGAGGAAGGGAACTGGCTGCCAGACCCCAGCAACCCAGTGCCCAGTATATCTAGTACTTACAGTTTTCGGTAAAGAGTATAGTTTGTCGTAAGACTTGTTTTTCTTCCTGCATTCCAGGTACAGGTAAGGTTAACATCATAGAAATAAATGCAGGAAATATTTTCTGGCATGTCTGGACGAACTACAATGACAAAGGTTAAAAAAAGCCAGTAAAAATAAGTAACTTTACACACACCTGATTCTGTTGGTCAAAAAGCAATTATGGCAAACATCAGTGTCTTCATAGCGCTTCATTTTATCATCCCTCACTGCCCTCAGAACTCCTCACATTACAAAAATCAAAACCACTCTTTCTTACCCTGAGGAGACAGCAAGATTTTCTCCAACTATTTCTCAGAAATACTTTACTAAGTGTGCCTAAACACAGTAATTCGCACTATCATATATCAAACCACTGCATACATTGTCTTGAACACCTAAGCATACACACACCCCGTCTCCCCTCTGCAACACACCAGTAGTTTGAGAGGAGTCCAGAAAGTAAAAGGTAAACAAAAAAACAGCAAAAGCACAAAAAAAAACCCCAAAAAACCCAAAAATAACAAAAAAAAAAACCCCAGCAGCAACAAAAAAAAAAAAAAAAAAAAAACCAAACAAAAAAAAAAAAAAAAACAACCAAACCAAAACAAAAAAAAAAAACGGCATCCTCTCACAGACAGAACTCCTTTTGGTTCTCTCCCAGAATATCCAATTTTTATCCAATTTTTTACCCTATGAAAAACCCAAATCTGAGAAACATGCACAGCCTAAAGAGTGCAGAAGACAAGTTCCTGGAAAACAGATCTGTGTGACCCCGATGATATCACTAATTCTGGACTCTCTTTATAAGCAAGATAGCACAAAGGAAATAATCTTCTGCAATCTCTATAGTCTGAAGTCATCCATAAAAATTTAACACCCTAAAAGACTTTCTTGTTACAGCTCAATTTCTTTACCGTTAGAAGAAATTGGAGTAGAAGAAAACGATGTCCAGTGAAATCAACTGGTTGACAAAGCCCTCTTTTCAAAACAGCATTTTTCTGTCCCATCTAATAGAACTGTCAAAAGATCTTTTATCAACAAGCTTACAGCACATTAAGCTTTGCAGACATGCAAGATCTTTTGCTGGATATTTTTCAACAGATGTTTTGCTTTTATTGCTTCTTTATTAGAATGGGACCCCCCAGGCATATGTTAGTATACTCTGGACTTAATCTGTTCAATAAATTAGAAAATTTGTATGCATATTTTAAGGTTCTGCATAAGAGAGTGGATTATAACTTCTTTAGAAGAGAAGATTAGAGAGGAAATCCTCTCTGGAGAAAATTGAAGTTGGCTAGGCTAGAAAGAAGATATAACCAAAGGAATAGACCCACTACCTTTGTAACTCAACAGAAAACTTCAGCTAGGCAAAAGTCAGGGTCAGAAAGGTTACAGACCTGTGTCAGTAAGGAATGCCGGTAATTTCATACTTTCTTTAAAAAGAAAAATGTATGTGTGTATAAATATATATGTGTGTGTGTGTGTGTGTGTATATATATATATATATATATATATATATATATATATATATATATATGTATACACTTGAATACATGTGTTTTAAAATAACACAACCAAAAGTAGCTGTTTTAGAAGTAAAATTATTATACTAAGTTGTTAAAAAGAGTTAAGATTATTTTTTCTGCCTTTCTACTTACAGCCAGATTTAACTTCTGTGTGAGCCAAAGGTAGTTCCTTGTCCGAGTACTTAATTAAACATTCTACATTAGCTATGCTGTAAGTGAAATTATGGATGGTTATATTAGATACAGTCTTATTCACAATGTTATAGTTTTCTGGAGCAATCAATTCATTATTCAATTTCCAAATGATGTGGCTTGCATTTCTCTGTGGTGTGTAGTTCTTTCTAAGAACACAGGATAGTTTCAGGGAGGATCCTCTTTCAATTTCAGGAGATGAAGGAAAAATGTCAGCGTCTCTGATGGAGTTTTCATCTAAAAACAAAATCAAAGACATCACATAGCCATACTCCTCTTAAAACACTAGTAGAAAAATAGTAAGTTGTTTTGTTGTGTACAGATAATTAAATTAATTTTTTACATAGAATTCAAATAAAATGCCCAGTTAGTCATTCAAATCAGACATTCCTGTTTGAAAATGCAGTTCACATTAATTACTGTATTACAATAGGTTTTACATTAGAGTGATGTTTCAATAACTTCACAGAAATAATGAGGAAGTTTCCATTCAGATACTTTTTAATAGCCCTAAATGAAGAAAAGAAAGCCTTATACTTCAAGCCTGTTTTTATAAAACATTCCTATCAGTAAAAGCTATGCATGTAATTTGCATGCATTTATCACTAATACTTGCAATATCCAAAAATACATTACACAAGTAAGACTAACATTTACAACTAAGCTGCAATATATTTCAGAACTCTTCAAAATTTCATTTGGAGAATGTTATCTTTTGGAAAAACTTCTTACGGCAAGACAGGTGCTAATAATCCAGAAACATACCTGCTACAGAGATGCAGAGCAGGACAAACATCCAAATCAAATTGCTCAACATTTCTTTCTCAGTAAGTATGGGCAGAAAACACTGTCATAAAATAAAAAAAATTAAATTTAAATTTAAACACTTCATAAAATAAAAATTTAAAATTTTTATTTTTAGAAGTAAAGTGAAGATGCCCTTTTAATATTTTGTTAGCGTTTGTGTCAGAGTTAATAATGTTATTCAGCTTTTCTCACTTGTATTCAAGTGACGTATTACTTTGTCGAAGTGTTTCTTTCCTGAACAATGCAGAAATTTGATGCAGTTTTACTAAGACAAGTTGCACACATTTACGATAAAAAATAGAAAGATAAGCATACCTAAAACACGGCTGAGGGCAATCCAATCCACACAAGTGTTTAACCTTCCAAAGATCATGCAAGTAACTGGTAAGAAATGTATCTCCATTCACTTGACATTCAGCCTGCCTAGCCTTTTCTAAGCAGATTCATCCAGCGAATTCTTTTGAAAATGAGGGCTCCTACAGGAGAAGGAATGATCTGCCTCTCTTGTTCATCACCACCTAGTAAAGAAATTGTTCAGGAAGTGGACATCAGTCCAGGTCACCTTTCACCCAAAAGAGGGTGAATTCATATTGGTTTTTTCCCAGTTTTGCCCTGGCAGCAGACCTGAGTGCACTCTGCAAAGACAAAGGAAGGCACCTCTCTTCGCCTTTCTTTTTGAAGAAAAGAACTACTGAACTACTGTGCAGCCAAAAAACCTCAGACTCTAGGTTAAGAAGGAGGAAAGCAAAGTAGTAGACTGATTTCTTCTAAAAGGACAGATGAATCTAGGGTTCCGTATGAAAAAATTACAAAATTACACTGTCCTTCCCTTGAGTGCTGCTATCAGCACTTACAGAATCACAGAATGTTTGTTTGGAAGGGACACCTACTGACCATCTGATTCAAACTTACAAAGAGCCTCCTACAGCCAGTTCCCCAGGACTGTGTCCAGACAGCTTCTGAAGATCTCCCTCAATGGAGAGTCCACAAACTCCCTGGGTAACCTGCTCCACTACTCATTTACTCTCATAGCAAAAAAAGTATTTCCTGATGCTCAGAAGGAACCTCCTGTGTTTGAGCTTGTGCCCACTGCCTCTGGTCCTATCACTGGGAGGATTCTGGCTCTTTGGTACTGCTGAGACTCCTCTGAGCTTTCTCTTCTCCAGGCTGCATGGTTCCAGCTTCCATATGGCAGATGCTCCAGTACATTAACTATCATTGAGGCCGTTCCCTGAATTCTCTCCAGTATGTCCATGTCTCTCTTGCCATCAGGAGTCCAGAACTGGGACAAAATACTCCAAGTGTGGGCTCAGCAGTGCTGAACAGAGGGATCACCTCATTGACCTGCTGGTTGCAGTCCTAACACAGCCCAGGAAACCAGCATTCTTTGTCACAAGGGCACATTGCTGGCTCATGCTCTACTGGGTGTTGGGGACCACCAGAGCATTTTCTGCAAAGCTGGCTGGTGGAGACCTGGACAGGCCCCTGTGCTGCTGTCCGGGGTTGTACCTCCCCAGATGAAGGATTTGGCACTTCTCCTTATTGAAGGTCCTGCCAGCCCATTTCTCCAGGTTGCCAAGGTCTCTGTGGACAGCAGCTCAGCAAACTCACTGAAGGCAGGCTCGGCCACAGCATTCTAATCCAGAACATGCTGAACAGGACTGAATCCAGCATGGCCCACTGGGGTACATCACCAGTGACTGGCTCCCGGATGGACTTCACCACTGATCACCACCCTGTGGGTCCATCTATTTAGCCAGTTTTCAATTCACTTCACTGCTCACCCAGCCCACACCTCATCAACTTGTCTGTAAGAACCTGTCTGTAGAGTGGACCAACCCCACCATGAATGGCAACCCACACTACTCCTTCGGCTAGTAAGTAGAAGATCTGCCTGTAGAAAGCAGAGGTGTCAGATCCCCTTAACCACACAAGGGCCTAGAGCCCAGTATTCCTATTTCCTGGACAAGTAGCTCTAGTTACCATGCTCATAAGCAACACGTGGGCATTAGTATTTTGCAGCTAGTTGGGGTCCATGTTTCACATTAGGTTTGTCTGGAATTTCAGCTCTCCATCAAAGCTGTGTGTCAGGAAGGCTCCAGGTGGGAGGCAAGTACTATCTCCCTAGAACAGCCACACCAGTAGCTTTCAGTCCCAACAAAGTATCTCCTCCTCCCACAGGTTCAGATAATGCCACAAAGCAGGTGTGCACCAAGTCACTGGACAGAGATCTAAGTGGGATATAGGCAGTAGGGGTTATGCCCTATGCTATGGTTCTTTCCACAAAAACTTCTTGGATTTGCTAAAAACTTAAACTTTACAGTAATCTAAAATAGAAAAACATGGTAAAAACAATGTATTAAGCTCAGTTTCTGTCAGAAATCAACTTAAATATTATTTTAAGTTTGTCTTGGGAAGCACTTCATAAACTTTAGGGCTATGACAGTAAAAAAACAGGAGGAAAAAAATGAAAAGCACATGTGGGATACAAAGAAAAATGTGGATGAGTTTGTCCAGTGACATATTCCTAAAATACAGCAGTAGCAAGATGTGTACCAACAAGAAATGAAGCCAGTCCATAAAGAGAATATATCACTTTTTCATGTAGGGTATATGTTCTTGTTCTCAAAGAACTAAAGATGAATTACACATTCCATGTGGCAATTAAAAAATAGCAGTTGTTCCGAGTATTCTGTACCAGCACAACACCAGAAGCTTTCCTCATTGCCCTTGATGTATCTGGCCAGATTTAATTCTCTCAGGATTTTAAGCTTTCCTAATCTGATTCCTGGTTTCTTTTTGCATTCTTCCCAAGCTACCTGTCCCTGCTTCCACCCTGTATAGACCTTGTTTTTGTGTTTGAGCTCATCCAAGCAGCCTTCCCAGTGTTTTTGACCAACTTTGTCTTTGTTAGAATGCATCAATCCTGAGCTTAAGGAGGATGATCCTTGAATACCAGCTCTCTTGGGTCCCTCTTCTCTCCAGAGATTTATCCATGGTGTTCTACCAAGCAGGTTCCTGAAGAGGCCAAAGTCTGGTCCCCTGAGCCCGGGATTATGAGCCTATTGTCCTTGCTGCCCTAAGGACCTCAGGCAAATTCAGCATTTCATACTCATGGCAGTCAAGATTGCCCCTGAGCTTCACCTTCCCACCAGCCCCTCCTTGTTGGTGACAACACAGTCCATCACAGCACTTCTCCTCACCACTCTACTGTCACCTGGAGAAGGAAGTTACCACCAACACATTCCAAAAACCTCTTGGATTGCCTAAGCCCAGCTGTGTTGTCCTTCCAACAGATACTGGGCAGGTTGAAGACCCCATGAACACCAGGGTTTATGAGCACAAGGTTGCTCAGATGCAGAGTTTCATCTGCCCAGCCCTCCTGGTCAGGTGGCCTGTAGCAGACTCCAGTGCAATGTCCCCTGTGCCCTCCTTCCCTTTAACCCTGACCCATCCCTGTCTGTCAGCTCCTCACCCACCCCAGGCAGGGCTCTGTGCTCTCCAGCTGTCACTGACACAGGAGGTGACACCTTCCCCTCATCTCCCTGCCTGCCCTCCCTAAAGAACCGGCATCCTTCCATTCCAGCACTCCAGCCACAGGAACCGTCCCACCACATCTCCACTGAGACAACAAGATCACAGCCCTGCAGGCACACACCTGTCTCTAACTCCCCGTTTATTCCCCATAATAAGAGCTAAAGCTTCTGCTGATATCCTACATGCAGATTTACTATTTTTGAGGGGATAGGAGACAGAAGAGGCTGCATTTCAGCGAAAATAGTCCAGCTCTTTCCAAGAATAAAGCAAAAAAAATTTTTATCAGATTCCTTTAACTAGCTCCAGCAATTCCATTCTTTCTTAGAAGGGAGATGGAATTCAGAAGCATTGGCAAACCATAAAAACATTTTTGCATAATGCTTAAGCTGAAAATACCACAAGACATATCCCATCACAGTGGAGCACAGAACTGCACAAACAGGCATGATCAAGCTGGCTGCAATGCCAAGTTAGAAGCCTTTGAAAAATTTTAGTTTCCCATGCACACCAGAATGCTTTAATAGCTGAAGATTCCATCCAGACTCGGTGCTCCTCATCCTGTATCCATTCTGTACCTTTTCCCCCTCTTCTAGTTCTTCTCTAGCACTCAGCCATACCATAAGTCACTTCCACTTGCCAAAACAGCAGAAGACTAAAAAAAAAAGGTATTTGTACTACATTAGCAAATGTAAGGCATTTGAGTTGGTGAAACAGAGGAGATAACTGGGGAGAGAGACCTCCATGACTTTTCCCAGATGTGAGCTGGTTATTTTGTTCAGTCCTCCTGCTTCTACTTTGTCCCAGTATCAATTAGCAGCTGTTTATATGGCATGACAGTTACTACTTGCCAGAAACCAAGGTAGTGATTTAGCAGGTTACAGTGCTGCTCAAATCTTATGTGCTTGTCAGGACACTGATAAATGATATGTGACATGATAGCTCGTTGGCTGTTTACTGAAGAGTTGTATATGTAAAAGTGATCAAAGAATGTGCCTGAGTGAAAATTTCACCATATGTGTATAAGTGTTTAACTTAAAGACGTCTATAAAAGCTGTCTTCTTCAAGTGATGAAAAAATTGATTCATCAAAGCAAGACTTTTCCCCATATTGCATTTAAGACCATTTATTAATTTATTAATTGCCCTTCTTCCCCATTTCAGGACATGAAACTTTTTTCCATTCAGATCTTATTCTAGGATTGCTTTCAACTACATGAACTACATGCCTCTGGTATACAGTGTAGATGTTACACCAAGAATAAAGAATATCTATAAAGGTAAAGACAGCATGTCATGGAGTCGTTGAATCACAGAATGTTAAGGGTTGGAAGGGATCTTAAAGACCATCTAATCCTAACCCTTCCTTCCATGTTCAGGGACACCTCCCATTAGACCTCGTTGCTCAAGGCCTTATCCAGCCTGGCCTCGAACACTTCCAGGAATGGGGCATCCACAACTTCCCTGAGCAACTTGT